AGTAAGACATCGCCTATCACTGGAGTCAGACATCCCCCATCACCGGAGACAGGCAGACATCCCCCATCACCAGAGACAGGCAGACATCCCCCATCACCGAAGACAGGCAGACATCCCCCATCACCAGAGACAGGCAGACATCGCCTATCACTGGAGTCAGACATCCCCCATCACCGGAGACAGGCAGACATCCCCCATCACTGGAGACAGGCAGACATCCCCCATCACCAGAGACAGTCAGACATCGCCTATCACTGGAGTCAGACATCCCCCATCACCGGAGACAGGCAGACATCCCCCATCACCAGAGACAGGCAGACATCCCCCATCACTGGAGACAGTCAGACATCGCCTATCACTGGAGTCAGACATCCCCATCACCGGAGACAGGCAGACATCCCCCATCACTGGAGACAGGCAGACATCCCCCATCACTGGAGACAGTCAGACATCGCCTATAACTAGAGACAGTCAGATATCGCCTATCACTAGAGACAGTTAAGCATCGCCTATCACTAGGGACAGGCAGACTTCACCTATCATTGGAGACGGACAGACATTACCTATCACTAGAGACAGGCAGACATCCCCTATCAATGGAGACCGGCAGACATCGCCTATCACTAGAGAGAGTCAGACATCGCGTATAACTAGAGACAATCAGACACCCTCTATCACTAGAGACAGACAGACATCGCCTATCACTGGAGACAGTCAGACATCGCCTATCACTGGAGACAGTCAGACATCGCCTATCACTAGAGACAGACAGACATCGCCTATCACTAGGGACAGACACACGTCGCCTATCACTGGAGACAGTCAAACATCGCCTATCTCTAGAGACAGTCAGACATGGCTATCACTACAAACAGGCATACATCGCCTATCACTAGGGAAAGACAAACATCGCCTATCAATCACTAGAGACAGTCAGACATCGCCTATCACTAGGAACAGACACACATTGCCTATCACTAGAGACAGTCAGGCATCCCCTATCAATGGAGACTGGCAGACATCGCCTATCACTAGAGAGAGTCAGACATCGCCTATGACTAGAGACAATCAGACACCGTCTATCACTAGAGACAGACAGACATCGCCTATCACTGAAGACAGTCAGACATCGCCTATCACTAGAGACAGTCAGGCATCGCCTATTACTGCAGACAGTTAGACATCGCCTATCACTAGAGACAGGTAGACATCGCCTATCACTAGAGACAGGCACACATCCCCTATCAATGAAGACAGGCAGACATCGCCTATCACTAGAAAGTCAGACATCGCGTATCACTAGAGACAATCAGACAACGTCTATCACTGGAGACAGACAGACATTACCTATCACTAGAGACAGGCAGACATCGCCTATCACTAGAGACAGACAGACATCGCCTATCACTAGAGACAGTCAGATATCGCCTATCACTAGAGACAGTCAGATATCGCCTATCACTAGATACAGTCAGACATCGCCTTATCACTTGGGAAAGTCAGACATCGCCTATTACTAGAGACAGTCAGACATCGCCTGTCACTAGAGACAGACAGACATCGCCTATCACTAGAGACAGTCAGACAGCGCCTATCACTAGAGACAGTCAGACATCGCCTATCACCAGAGACAGTCAGACATGTCATATCACTGGAGACAGACAGACATTACCTATCACTACAGACAGGCAGACATCGCCTATCACTAGAGACAGGTAGACATCGCCTATCACTAGAGACAGGCAGACATCCCCTATCAATGAAGACAGGCAGACATCGCTTATCACTAGAGAGAGTCAGACATCGCGTATCATTAGAGACAATCAGACACCGTCTATCGCTAGAGACAGACAGACATCGTCTATCACTGGAGACAGTCAGACATCGCCTATCTCTGGAGACAGTCAGGCATCGCCTATCACTTGAGACAGACAGACATCGCCTATCACTAGAGACAGTCAGATATCGCCTATCACTAGATACAGTCAGACATCGCCTTATCACTTGGGAAAGTCAGATATCGCCTATCACTAGAGACAGTTAAGCATCGCCTATCACTAGGGACAGGCAGACATCACCTATCATTGGAGACGGACAGACATTACCTATCACTAGAGACAGGCAGACATCCCCTATCAATGGAGACCGGCAGACATCGCCTATCACTAGAGAGAGTCAGACATCGCGTATAACTAGAGACAATCAGACACCCTCTATCACTAGAGACAGACAGACATCGCCTATCACTGGAGACAGTCAGACATCGCCTATCACTGAAGACTGGAGACAGTCAGACATCGCCTAGTACTGGAGACAGTCAGACATCGCCTAGTACTGGAGACAGTCAGACATCGCCTATCACTAGAGACAGTCAGGCATCGCCTATCACTGGAGACAGACAACACCTATCACTAGAGACAGTCAGACATCTCCTATCAATGAAGACTGGCAGACATCGCCTATCACTGGAGAGAGTCAGACATCGCCTATCACTAGAGACAGGCATCGCCTACCACTAAAGACAGACAGACATCGCCTATCACTAGGGACAGACACACGTCGCCTATCTCTAGAGACAGTCAGACATGGCTATCACTACAAACAGGCAGACATCGGCTATCACTAGGGAAAGACAAACATCGCCTATCAGTCACTAGAGACAGTCAGACATCGCCTACTACTGGAGACAGTAAGACACCGTCTATCGCTAGAGACAGACAGATATCGCCTATCACTGGAGACAGTCAGACATCGCCTATCACTGGAGACAGGCATCGCCTACCACTAAAGACAGACAGACATCGCCTATCACTAGAGACAGTCAGACATCGCCTAACAATAGAGACAGTTAGACATCGCCTATCACCAGAGACAGTCCAGACATGTCATATCACCGGAGACAGGCAGATATCGCCCATCAGTTGATGTGAATGGTATTTGACCCTTTGTTCCACACTTCGATGTGACTGATATATGACCTCTTGTTCCACACATAGATGTGACTGATATTTGACCTCTTATTCCACACTTAGGTGTGACTGGTATATGACCTCTAGATCCACACTTATATGTGACTGATATATGACCTCTTGTGTGGTGTGACACTTAGGTGTGACTGATATATGACCTCTTATGTGGTGTGACACTTAGGTGTGACTGGTATATAATCGTTTGTTCCACATTTAGATGTGACTGATATATGACCTATTGTTCCACACTTAGATGTGACTGATATATGACCTTTTGTTCCACACATAGATGTGACTGATATATGACCTCTTGTTCCACACTCAGGTGTGACTGGTATGTGACCTCTTGTTCCACACTTGGGTGTGGCCTTTTAACTTAAAACTTGACTTGTGAACTTGTCCTTCGTTGATTCCTCAGATCAAGAAAATAAAATTGTGATTTGACGAGCAAACCAAAAGGCCGTTTTAATCCATGTATTTAATCTCTTGGCTGTCAACAAAATGGCTAGGTGTCTAAATAGATGAAGTAAGGAAGTGTAGTGATTGACCAGGTCAAACTTGACCGTTACATGTATCGAGCTACACCCGAACATATCGCTGTAAAATTCGTTACACATATAACATGGGTATCCCTACAGAACTAGAGACAGGAAAATCACAATGTTTATAGAAAAGGCGTCGAATGACTGGCCCAGTGGCCTTGATTGTATTATATAGGCAACAGCATACTTTCAGCTCTACTCGCGGACAAGGTATCAGACAAAGTCTGTACTCACAGACACAGTGACCGACATTGTCTCTCCTCAAGAACAGTCAGATCCAAGGTTCGCATTACAAAACGTTTTCACAATGTTAGCTTTTTACATGAATTTAATTCGTAGCTTTCACATGATAATGATCCATTGTACACCAGATATGACATCATATTAAGATATTCTAAACTAAACCGTATAGTTATCACACCAGAAAAGAAAACTACGTTTGAATGGTATCGACCTTTACAACAAAGACGATATATACATACATTTACATGATTTATCAATGATGCGACTAGAGACAGACAAAAGTACTCAGAACGAGGCCAATATCGAAACGTATAAATAAATAAACAGATATTGCTTGATAAAGGCACGGAAATATGATCTCGTTGTAAAGCTGTGATGTCCCGGAAATACCATTGTCTCTGTACATTGATGTCGGTCGGCGTTACAGGCCCGCTTCCACAGATCGCCAATCAAATACGTCAGTCGACAGCCATCTTCAAAGGAACCCCTAATCGATGCTAATTCGAGAGATTTAAATGTGTATTGATTCAATTCCCCACTGTTCAATACATCGTCATAACTGTTAAACAGCCTCCTCATCCTTAAGTTCACCTGTGGTAAAGATATGTTATTTTGAAGCCAAAATTCGCCTTCTTTTCGCCAACTCAGTCCTCGATAACTCAAATCTATACCTGGCAGGAAGTGGGCATTTTTAAATGGCGACTCTGTCGTTCACGTGATGTATGTATAAGACGGTGTGTTTCTAGGCTGTAAACCCTAGCTAGCATTATACAAACTTTCAGTTGACCTAGTGACTTATTCTGACTGATAGTTCCGGGCAGGTGTAGATAATTTAAAAACCTGCTTCAAAATCATCTAAATCTAATCACAGCTTGGTGTATTATATTAAATTCCTTCTGACTATTAGTTATCTGAGATTAATACTTGGCCTTGTCACTGCCCCGTATTTATACTGTCCCATGCCTTCTCTATGTCACTGCCCCGTATTTATACTGTCCCATGCTTTGTCACAGATGGAATACTTAATCATCAAATTCCATGTCCATATTACCTACACCGCAGTCCACAGCCAAAAAATGGTTTGCAGTTGCAAATATGTCTTTTTTGTTTTTGAAAATAGTTATCTTCAGTGTTTGGTAAGGGTAATTTGAAATCTACACTCCTTAACAACAAATGATTTATCACATAATCCCATCGTTTCATCATTCACATTAAAGCTACGATAATTTGTCCCCGAAGCTCCGGGTTAATCGAATGTTTCGAGGTCAATTTCACCTCCTGTAGTATGTTTTGTAGAATTTTGCGAGTTGTTGTTGAGATTTCGGGAGTTTTGATCTTTTTTTGGCGGTGAATCATTCTCTGTGATCATAACAGCCTTGTCCCCGGGGGGTCGGGAGTAATCGTCTACCTTAGCGCCCCTCAGTATGTAGGTCCCGTCGTCTGTGACGTCGTCGTCGTCGTCATCGTGAGCCATATTGTAACAGACGATGATCATACGGTAAATCAGAAGGAATATCATCAACAGGTTTTTAAATGTGAAGAAAAGAATCCCGTACGTAAGGATCCTGTAACGGAATAGTGCGTACAGCCGAATTGTCACAAACGGCACGTCCATAATGGAGATTGACACCATCAAACTCCAGATCTCGGATTGGAAGATACGGGCACACAAACTCCTATTGTCTTTCACTGGAGCATCTTCTGGAGTGATCGCCACGCCACGCCCCTTGCGAGCGTTCTTCGTGGCTGTTAGCGTTAATGTGAACTGTAATAAACTCACAGACCATACACCCAATGTGACGTAAGTGAGAATTCGATCTTCGCGGATTTCTGGCTCCTCGAATATAACGAAGAGCTCCATGATGTCGGACGCAATACCGAGGTAAACAAAGAGAAGCTGTGACAACTGGTCTCTTGTCACCTTACCTCTGGGAAGCAGCCAACGTCCCACGATAAACAAGAACAGCAGACCTTGTTCAAGTACAGATATCCAGGTGTCAGCTTCTAACCTTATAGGTACACTAACCTGAAATATAGAAACAATGACTTATTCTGTTGTGAAGGGATCAGATTATTGACATTAGGACCGGAAGGATCCGGATAGGACGTCTGTTATGCCTGAAATTATAGGGATATGGAAAGGACGTACCCAAAACGAGAGGAACTTACCTCAGAGACGGAGAAGGGATTTGGGGAGAAGAGCTTCCCTCAGAGGGAAAGAGAGGGATGCGGAGAGGAACTTACCTCAGAGACAGAGGAGGGGTGTTGGGAGAGGAGCTTACCCTAGAGACGGAGGATCGGGGATGAATGAGGAGCTTACTCCAGAGACGGAGGATGGGGGATGAGGAGGAACTTACCCCCAGGGTGGAGGATGTGTGATGAGGAGGAACTTACCCCCGGGGTGGAGGATGTGTGATGAGGAGGAACTTACCCCTGGGGTGGAGGATGTGTGATAAGGAGGAACTTACCCCCGGGGTGGAGGATGTGTGATAAGGAGGAACTTACCCCCGGGGTGGAGGATGTGTGATGAGGAGGAACTTACCCCCGGGGTGGAGGATGTGTGATGAGGAGGAACTTATCCCCGGGGTGGAGGATGTGTGATAAGGAGGAACTTACCCCCGGGGTGGAGGATGTGTGATGAGGAGGTGGTGGAGGATGTGTGATGAGGAGAAACTTACCCCTGGGGTGGAGGATGTGTGATGAGGAGGGGGTGGAGGATGTGTGATGAGGAGGAACTTACCCCCGGGGTGGAGGATGTGTGATGAGGAGGAACTTACCCCCGGGGTGGAGGATGTGTGATGAGGAGGAACTTACCCCCGGGGTGGAGGATGTGTGATGAGGAGTTGGAAACTTACCCCGGGGTGGAGGATGTGTGATGAGTGTGATGGAGGGTGGAGGATGTGTGATGAGGAGGAACCCCCGGGGTGGAGGATGTGTGATGAGGAGGAACTTACCCCGTGGTGGAGGATGTGTGATGCGTAGGAACTTACCCCCGGGGTGGAGGATGTGTGATGAGGAGGAACTTACCCCGGGGTGGAGGATGTGTGATGAGGAGGAACTTACCCCGGGGTGGAGGATGTGTGATGAGGAGGAACTTACCCCGGGGTGGAGGATGTGTGATGAGGAGGAACTTACCCCCGGGGTGGAGGATGTGTGATGAGGAGGAACTTACCCCCGGGGTGGAGGTGTGTGATGGATGTGTGATGGAGGATGTGTGATGGGAGGAACTTACCCCGGGGTGGAGGATGTGTGATGAGGAACTGGAGGATGTGTGATGAGGAGGAACTTTCCCCCGGGGTGGAGGATGTGTGATGAGGAGGAACTTACCCCCGGGGTGGAGGATGTGTGATGAGGAGGAACCCCCCGGGGTGGAGGATGTGTGATGAGGAGGAGAGGGGGTGGAGGATGTGTGATGAGGAGAACCTTAACCCCGGGGTGGAGGATGTGTGATGAGGTCGACCTTTGCCCTGGGGTGGAGGATGTGTGATGAGGAGGAACTTACCCCCGGGGTGGAGGATGTGTGATGAGGAGGAACTTACCCCCGGGGTGGAGGATGTGTGATGAGGAGGAACTTACCCCTGGGGTGGAGGATGTGTGATAAGGAGGAACTTACCCCCGGGGTGGAGGATGTGTGATGAGGAGAACCTTATCCCCGGGGTGGAGGATGTGTGATGAGGAGGAACTTACCCCGGGGTGGAGGATGTGTGATGAGGAGGAACTTACCTCCGGGGTGGAGGATGTGTGATAAGGAGGAACTTACACCCGGGGTGGAGGATGTGTGATGAGGAGGAACTAATCCCGGGGTGGAGGATGTGTGATGAGGAGGAACTTATCCCCGGGGTGGAGGATGTGTGATGAGGAGAACCTTATCCCCATGGTGGAGGATGTGTGATGAGGAGGAACTTACCCCCGGGGTGGAGGATGTGTGATGAGGAGAACCTTATCCCCGTGGTGGAGGATGTGTGATGAGGAGGAACTTACCCCCGGGGTGGAGGATGTGTGATGAGGAGAACCTTATCCCCGGGGTGGAGGATGTGTGATGAGGAGAACCTTATCCCCGGGGTGGAGGATGTGTGATGAGGAGGAACTTACCCCTGGTGTTGAGGAGGGGAATAAGGGTTAGCTTATCCCATATTTGAAAGAGGGGGATGATTGAAGGAACATATTTCAGAGGCGGAGGAGCGGGATGATTGATGAGAGGGGATGAGGAAGGAGCAGAGAAGGAGCATAGGGGATGAGGTGAAGAAGAAGGGGAAGAGACGGAGAAGTGGGGTTAGGGGGATGAGCTTACTAGCGGGGATGAGGAGAAGAACTTACCCCAGAAATGGAGGACAGCTCCTCTTGTTTTGCAGACACATTTCCTGAGTTGATAACGCTGTCGTAACGCTCTAGTCGATCAAGTTCCAAAAACCAAATCGCCGGCACGGTGGACAAAAGGAAGATGAATAAGCACGGACTGAACCTAAAATAGCACAGATGTTACATTAAGTGAACCTACACACACGGAGATCACACACCTGTAGTTTACATATGGGAACGAGGACCATACACCTGTAGTTTACATATGGGAACGAGGACCATACACCTGTAGTTTACTTATGGGAACGAGGACCATACACCTGTAGTTTACATATGGGAACGGGAATCATACACCTGTAGTTTACATATGGGAACGATGACCATACACCTGTAGTTTACATATGGGAACGGGAATCATACACCTGTAGTTTACATATGGGAACGAGGACCATACACCTGTAGTTTACATATGGGAACGGGAATCATACACCTGTAGTTTACATATGGGAACGATGACCATACACCTGTAGTTTACTTATGGGAACGAGGACCATACACCTGTAGTTTACATATGGGAACGAGGACCATACACCTGTAGTTTACTTATGGGAACGAGGACCATACACCTGTAGTTTACATATGGGAACGGGAATCATACACCTGTAGTTTACATATGGGAACGATGACCATACACCTGTAGTTTACATATGGGAACGGGAATCATACACCTGTAGTTTACATATGGGAACGAGGACCATACACCTGTAGTTTACATATGGGAACGGGAATCATACACCTGTAGTTTACATATGGGAACGATGACCATACACCTGTAGTTTACTTATGGGAACGAGGACCATACACCTGTAGTTTACATATGGGAACGAGGACCATACACCTGTAGTTTACATATGGGAACGAGGACCATACACCTGTAGTTTACTTATGGGAACGAGGACCATACACCTGTAGTTTACTTATGGGAACGAGGACCATACACCTGTAGTTTACATATGGGAACGGGAATCATACACCTGTAGTTTACATATGGGAACGAGGACCATACACCTGTAGTTTACATATGGGAACGGGAATCATACACCTGTAGTTTACATATGGGAACGATGACCATACACCTGTAGTTTACATATGGGGACGAGGACCATACACCTGTAGTTAACACATGGGAACGGGAACCATACACCTGTAGTTTACATACGGGAACGGGAATCATACACCTGTAGTTTACATATGGGAACAAGGACCATACACCTGTAGTTTACACATGGGGACGAGGACCATACAGCTGTAGTTTACACATGGGAACGAAAATCATACACCTGTAGTTTACATATGGGAACGGGAATCATACACCTGTAGTTTACATATGGGAACGAGGACCATACACCTGTAGTTTACTTATGGGAACGAGGACCATACACCTGTATTTTACATATGGGAACGGGAATCATACACCTGTAGTTTACACATGGGGACGAGGACCATACAGCTGTAGTATACACATGGGAACGAAAATCATACACCTGTAGTTTACACATGGGAACAAGGACCATACACCTATAGTTTACACATGGGAACGGGAACCATGCACCTATAGTTAGCACATGGGAACGAGGACCATACACCCGTAGTTTACACATGGGAACGAGGACCATACACCTATAGTTTACACATGGGAACGGGAACCATACACCTGTAGTTTACATATGAGAATGATGACCATACACCTGCAGTTTACACATGGAAACGAGGACCATACACCTGTAGTTTACACATGGGAACGAGGACCATACACCTGTAGTTTACACATGGGAACAGGAACCATACACCTGTAGTTTACATATGAGAACGATGACCATACACCTGTAGTTTACACATGGGAACGGGAACCATACACCTGTAGTTTACATATGGGAACGATGACCATACACCTGTAGTTAACACATGGGAACGGAAACCATACACCTGTAGTTAACACATGGGAACGAGGACCATACACCTGTAATTTACATATGGGAACGAGTACCATACACCTGTAGTTTACACATGGGAACGGGAAGCATACACCTGTAGTTTACACATGGGAACGAGGAAAATACACCTGTAGTTTACACATGGGAACGGAAACCATACACCTGTAATTTACATATGGGAACGAGTACCATACACCTGTAGTTTACACATGGGAACGGGAAGCATACACCTGTAGTTTACACATGGGAACGGGAATCATACACCTGTAGTTTACAAATGGGAACGAGGACCATACACCTGTAGTTTACACATGGGGACGAGGACCATACACCTGTAGTTTACACATGGGGACGAGGACCATACACCTGTAGTTTACAAATGGGAACGGGAACCATACACCTGTAGTTTACACATGGGAACGGGAATCATACAATTGTAGTTTACAAATGGGAACGAGGACCATACACCTGTAGTTTACACATGGGAACAAGGATCATACACCTGTAGTTTACACATGGGAACGAAAACCATACACCTGTAGTTTACACATGGGAACAAGGACCATACACTTGTAGTTTACACATGGGGACGAGGACCATACACCTGTAGTTTACACATGGGAACGAAAACCATACACCTGTAATTAACACATGGGAACGGGAACCATACACCTGTAATTTACACATGGGAACAAGGACCATACACCTGTAGTTTACACATGGGGACGAGGACCATACACCTGTAGTTTACACATGGGAACGAAATCCATACACCTGTAGTTTACACATGGGAACAAGGACCATACACCTGTAGTTTACACATGGGAACGAGGACCATACACCTGTAGTTTACACATGGGAACGAGGACCATACACCTGTAGTTTACACATGGGAACGAGGACCATACACCTATAGTTTACACATGGGAACGGGAACCATACACCTATAGTTTACACATGGGAACGAGGACCATACACCTGTAGTTTACACATGGGAACGAGGACCATACACCTATAGTTTACACATGGGAACGAGGACCATACACCTGTAGTTTACACATGGGAACGAGAATACGAGGTATACACACATAGGTACAAGGATCATACACACATTTCTACATGTTTTTGATGTTTTAAACCGGAAACCGGTCGGTAATTATCGGCTAGACGAGTGAAATTCGACAAATTGAAACGTGAAGTAAATCTGAACGATTTAATGGGGGAATGAAACATAAAAATACATACATTTGTTACACTGAGTCAACTTTAGTGAGAACTAAATGGTTTCTCTCTATTCGAATGCTCGTCTGTTTTAAAGGGCAACACTTCATAGATAAGTTTTTCTCGCTTGATCGACGAAGCGCACACAATAAAGGTCGCCTTGTATATTCCATTCCATTAACATATTTGTGATATCTTGTCACAATTAAGAAAACAGGAAACTTTTGTAACTTTTCCAGAGTTTTGGGTTGTACTTTGTATGAACAGTTTTACAAATCCAGTTGTATACTGTATTCAACTCAGATCCCTTTAAACCTTTGTTTATATTATTGTAATCAGTGACATGTATTCATGGCGACACACTGATGTAATCACAAGTAACAAGGACTTGTTTTACTGACGTATGTCATATCATTGTGATCCGTATTCATACTAATACATTATTTGGTGAGAATTTGTTCATGAACACATTAATACATTAATTGGTTAGAAGTAGTTCGTGAACACATTAATACATTAATTGGTTAGAAGTAGTTCGTGAACACATTAATACATTAATTGGTTAGAAGTAGTTCATGAACACATTAATTGGTTAGAAGTAGTTCATGAACACATTAATACATTAACTGGTTAGAAGTAGTTCGTGAACACATTAATACATTAATTGGTTAGAAGTAGTTCGTGAACACATTAATACATTAATTGGTTAGAAGTAGTTCATGAACACATTAATACATTAATTGGTTAGAAGTAGTTCATGAACACATTAATACATTAATTGGTTAGAAGTAGTTCATGAACACATTAATACATTAACTGGTTAGAAGTAGTTCATGAACACATTAATACATTAATTGGTTAGAAGTAGTTCATGAACACATTAATACATTAACTGGTTAGAAGTAGTTCATGAACACATTAATACATTAATTGGTTAGAAGTAGTTCGTGAACACATTAATACATTAATTGGTTAGAAGTAGTTCATGAACACATTAATTGGTTAACACACATTAATACATTAACTGGTTAGAAGTAGTTCGTGAACACATTAATACATTAATTGGTTAGAAGTAGTTCATGAACACATTAATACATTAAGTGGTTAGAAGTAGTTCATGAACACATTAATACATTAAGTGGTTAGAAGTAGTTCATGAACACATTAATACATTAACTGGTTAGAAGTAGTTCATGAACACATTAATACATTAATTGGTTAGAAGTAGTTCATGAACACATTAATACATTAAGTGGTTAGAAGTAGTTCATGAACACATTAATACATTAAGTGGTTAGAAGTACTTCGTGAACACATTAATACATTAACTGGTTAGAAGTAGTTCATGAACACATTAATACATTATTGGTGAGAAGAAGTTTGTGAACACATCAATAATTATTTGGTGAGAAGAAGTTCATGGACACATCTATATATTATTTTGTGCGTAAAGAATGAACACATGAATATATGAAACATGACGTTTTAGGTTCGAAAAAAATATTGCCAAAATCAACAAATTATGTAAAACTGTGTAATGTAGCGTACAGCAAATCAAGGAATTTGACGTAACGACACCACACCACGAACATACCGTGACGTCATTACCTAACTAGGATGTACGTACCACTTGCCTTCCTGGCCCTTGCGTTTGACGAGCCTAATGATGAGTTCGAAGAGGAGGAGAAGATTGGTCAGCCCAAGTAACCAATAAAGATCGTTGTTTTTTACATCTGCTGCTCGCCACACAGTTAGAAGGCTGTGCACCGCCAGGACGGCCCGTACTATGACTGCTTGTATTACAGCTTTGGTTACCGAAAAGCCCGTCATCTTTAGCCTCCTTTTAACCTGATTAAATTCTGATCTTTTCTGTCACCAAAAACCGAAAACTTTCGGACTTATACCCCCTCTGCCGCAAAAAGCAATGTTTTAGAGTCGATTCTTCCGGATTCTGTTTTCTGTTGCCACCAAACTTCTTCACTTATTTCTCCTTTTATCCTCACAAAACGAAGTGTCTGGTGTAATTTTACCTTCTGTCGTCTCAAAACAAGTATCTAAAAGACTTCAAGACTTTAACGTACTTCTCTCGATCTGAAAGGTTCACTCACTGAATTCTCGTCGTCCAAATAAGGTCGATCGACGAATCACATGGAACAAAAGCGTCCCCCGAAAACGTAAGCATGTCTGTCATTTATCGGCGTCTATTTATACATGTCATAAGAACTTGACTCCAAAGCTTTCCAAGTTATCCTGATTATATCCGGGAGCTTGGCGTACTTGTCTTGTGAAGCGGGACTGAACTCGACAATATCTTTATCCTGTGCTGTTTATCGGTGCTTGGTGGCGTTATTGAGGCCTGATTTACAACGTTACCCACCAGTTAAAATGACACCCGGGTTTAATCATCTCTACCTTTACAGAACAGGCCCTTACTCGTTCTGGTGAACCAACTTTTACCTACATACGTTACGGCTGACTGCACGTAAACACTGATTCTATGTTGAAGTTTTGATGTTTATCTGCAGTTAAAAGTTTTGTAGACTTTAATTAAGAAGACGCGAGTGTGACATCAATGTAAGATGATTATGTAAGGGAAGCATGGGTCCTTATCTTCACCCCTCATCACTTCTGTGAGTGATATACCAGGTCCAGATGATGTATCGACAGAAAATTTTACAGCAGATATATACAGTGGTAAATAACTAGGGAAACTCTGTCATGACTGGGAAAGAACTGAAAATCACTTCACGTTCGCTTAACCTAGATTAGGCGTTAAAATGACAGCCTTCCAAATTGAAAAAAAAATCCAACCCAGTGTGTATAACCGATCACATTGAAAAATAGTGATAACAATTAATGAAAAAAATGAAATTGTACTTTAATCACTTTTTTTTCAACTCTGACGTATGTAACTAATTTTACAATTCGTTTTTATTCAGTGTTTTTTTTATAACCTATTCGTCCTACTATTCTTGTCTTCACCTTTTTGGTTGGTTACCAGGTTTTTCGTCACCTTGACTCCTCTCATGTTCTGGTGTCATTTCACAGACTTACGTCAGTGTTCTGTCGAGACTTTGCTTCCCACTTGTGTCGTTTTTATTCGGTATGTTTATATGACCTAATTACCCTATTATTCTCGACTTTACTTCCCACCTGTGTCGTTTTTATTCGGTATGTTTATATGACTTAATTACCCTATTATTCTGGACTTTTCTTCCCATCTGTGTTGTTTTATCCATTACCTAAGAAGGCTCAAATCATTGTCCATTTTATTACGTAAACCTATCCCGGTTACCCAACTGGTCTACCTGGTCAGTGACATGTAAAAACTGCCCACAGACCAATTTGACACGTATTATAAAGCGACACCTTTCACAATTGTATCCGCTAATTAACGTCCATTGTGTATTTTAACATCGCTCTCCATGTTTGTTTGGTTATGTCGACTCTGTACAGAACACACCGGGTATATTTTAGATGGTCCCAATATCTCGTCGCCATGTTATTTTGGTTATGTCGACTCTGTACAGAACACACTAGGTATACTTTAGATGGTCCCAATATCTCGTCGCCATGTTATTTTGGTTATGTCGACTCTGTACAGAACACACTAGGTATATTTTAGATGGTCCCAATATCTCGTCGCCATGTTATTTTGGTTATGTCGACTCTGTACAGAACACACTAGGTATATTTTAGATGGTCCCAATATCTCGTCGCCATGTTATTTTGGTTATGTCGACTCTGTACAGAACACACCAGGTATATTTTAGATGGTCCCAATATCTCGTCGGCATGTTATTTTGGTTATGTCGACTCTGTACAGAACACACCAGGGATATTTTATATGGTCCCAATATCTCGTCACCATGTTATTTTGGTTATGTCGACTCTGTACAGAACACACTAGGTATACTTTAGATGGTCCCAATATCTCGTCGCCATGTTATTTTGGTTATGTCGACTCTGTACAGAACACACTAGGTATATTTTAGATGGTCCCAATATCTCGTCGGCATGTTATTTTGGTTATGTCGACTCTGTACAGAACACACCAGGGATATTTTATATGGTCCCAATATCTCGTCGCCATGTTATTTTGGTTATGTCGACTCTGTACAGAACACACTAGGTATATTTTAGATGGTCCCAATATCTCGTCGCCATGTTATTTTGGTTATGTCGACTCTGTACAGAACACACTAGGTATATTTTAGATGGTCCCTAATATCTCGTCGCCATGTTATTTTGGTTATGTCGACTCTGTACAGAACACACTAGGTATACTTTAGATGGTCCCAATATCTCGTCGCCATGTTATTTTGGTTATGTCGACTCTGTACAGAACACACTAGGTATATTTTAGATGGTCCCAATATCTCGTCGCCATGTTATTTTGGTTATGTCGACTCTGTACAGAACACACCAGGTATATTTTAGATGGTCCCAATATCTCGTCGCCATGTTATTTTGGTTATGTCGACTCTGTACAGAACACACCAGGGATATTTTATATGGTCCCAATATCTCGTCGCCATGTTATTTTGGTTATGTCGACTCTGTACAGAACACACTAGGTATATTTTAGATGGTCCCAATATCTCGTCGCCATGTTATTTTGGTTATGTCGACTCTGTACAGAACTCACTAGGTATATTTTAGATGGTCCCCAATATCTCGTCGCCATGTTATTTTGGTTATGTCGACTCTGTACAGAACACACCAGGTATATTTTAGATGGTCCCAATATCTCGTCACCATGTTATTTTGGTTATGTCGACTCTGTACAGAACACACCAGGTATATTTTAGATGGTCCCCAATATCTCGTCGCCATGTTATTTTGGTTATGTCGACTCTGTACAGAACACACCGGGTATATTTTAGATGGTCCCAATATCTCGTCGGCATGTTATTTTGGTTATGTCGACTCTGTACAGAACACACTAGGTATATTTTAGATGGTCCCAATATCTCGTCGCCATGTTATTTTGGTTATGTCGACTCTGTACAGAACACACCAGGTATATTTTAGATGGTCCCAATATCTCGTCGCCATGTTATTTTGGTTATGTCGACTCTGTACAGAACACACTAGGTATATTTTAGATGGTCCCAATACCTCGTCGCCATGTTATTTTGGTTATGTCGACTCTGTACAGAACACACTAGGTATATTTTAGATGGTCCCAATATCTCGTCGCCATGTTATTTTGGTTATGTCGACTCTGTACAGAACACACCAGGTATATTTTAGATGGTCCCAATATCTCGTCGCCATGTTATTTTGGTTATGTCGACTCTGTACAGAACACACTAGGTATATTTTAGATGGTCCCAATACCTCGTCGCCATGTTATTTTGGTTATGTCGACTCTGTACAGAACACACTAGGTATATTTTAGATGGTCCCAATATCTCGTCGCCATGTTATTTTGGTTATGTCGACTCTGTACAGAACACACCAGGTATATTTTAGATGGTCCCAATATCTCGTCCTCTAGCCACAAAATTATCTAGATTAAATTTACAAGTTTCAACTATTATCAAATCTAATTCGTCTTCTTCACTAGATTTTAAAGCGAACCTACGTGACGACTTTCGTGGGTCTATACATGGATGCCATCTACAACGAGAGAATTGAATACTACGAACTCGTTCTTTTTTCGCCGCGTTTTTCTACCTTCATCTACGTGCGAAGACAAACGGTAAAAGTATATTGTATACTGTAGCTTAGTGCTAGTGAAGGTGACAGCGAGTCATCAACACGTGGAGAGCTTGTGGAGGTTAGTTTTGTTTTGTGAATCAAATGCCGAGATATTGAATGTTGTTGTAATTTGCCAATGAGTTCTCAGTGATCGATGACAGACAGTAGCAAAGACTTTGTTCAGTATGGATTCACAGAAAAAGCCGTGTTTACGTCATATATCAAAACACTTATCTTGATATTCAGTCTCATCTGTCCCGCTCAGCAAATAGAAAAATATCCTCTCTTCATCAGAGCGACCTGATTGCTGCTAATTATCCCCAAGTAACAGGTAACAAGTATGGGCGTCACACTTACAACAACGGTATTGTCGAAAAGTCTTTCGTTAGCTCACTAGCTCGAAGATCTGTCTACCCAGCATCAAGGTTTTATTCAAATAACTCTTTTTTTTTCATTCATCAAGACTCTAATGGGACATTTAGTATGTAGCATTTTGGTATAAATGACTTTTGTCCATTTTCATGTCGCTAGAATCAAGTGTGTTAAACTGTTTCTCAATAACTAGACAATCAGGAACATGTAGTATGTATGGATGAATGGCTATTGAATATGTTAAAGTGGATGAATTTGACCCATCTCCAAAGGTCACAGGGGTCATATGTGTTGAAATCTTTAAACAACTTCTCCATAACCAAGAAGCTAAATGCCATGATGTTTGGCACGTAGCACGCATGGAGGAAGGACGACACAGTTTACTAAGTGACTGACCAACTTTTGACGTCACGCGGGTGAAACGTGTTAAGACTTTTTGTCAATAACCAAGCGGTCCATAGTCATAATATTGCGCGTGAAGCATGCCGAGAGAGACTGTTCCAATGAATAGCCTTGACCCACTTTCAAGTTCACAGAGATCAAAGATGTTAAATTCAAATTCTCTTTTTTATGTTGACATATAAACTTTTAAAATGGATGTGAACCTTGACGTGTACATAAAGGTTACAAGGTTGAGCTACTAAGCAGATGAGCGATTACAGGCCTGTTGGACCTTTTGTTTTGCTGCACTACATACTTCTATGGCGTTGTATTGTCTGGTTACAGTCTGCATCTTGTTAAATGGTGCGAAT